TTAGATGTACAGAAGGGGTTATAGTGATGAGCAAATGGCTTTTCTGTTAATTAAAAATCAAAGACACCAAAAAAGTATAATTTCCTTTGAAATTCCCCTTCTAGTATGAAAGAAAAATCAGTATTTCTCTCTTTAACTTAACTACAATGATATTTCTCTTAGTCTAATATCTTAGACCTATTATGTGAAAAGAGCATCCATATCTTCTATGACCTACATTATTTAACAAATTATCATAACTTATTTGGCAGTAAGTGATATCATACAGAGGTAGCATCTCTCCACAATTCTGCATTCTTTCATGACACTGGAGTAAGGAGTGGGGTGAGGGTAAAGGGGGGGCAGGAAGTTTACTTTATGCCTCTGCACTGGAATGAAGAAATGCCAGGTGATTTGGGCTAATCTAGGAAGCTCCCTGGGACATTCGGGCCTTCAGCTGGACTGTGTGGAGAGGTGAAGAGAAGAAAAAGTATCACATCAAAAGATACACAGATTTTCAGAGGTGGGAAGCTGAGTGTGGTATGATCAGGATAAGGTAAGAGATCTGACTTTTCTCAAATAAGAGTGCACTCTACTTACGTATTTCTAGAGTGATAATGTTTTAATTATAATAAGCATCCTTTACATAAAGGTTTGATAACTAGAACAAGTAGAAACTGCTAAATTGTTAATATATTTTCTACAATTTGTCTTTGTGATATGATTCTTCTAGTGATGTCATCTTTGTTTAGGATCTTGGATGACTGATACAAAGTGGCTTAATAAAACACAGAACATAATTAATATAAATGTTTCAACAGCTGAAGATATAGAGCATCACAGCACTGTTGTGCAGCACTGAATTTGCAATAGCAAAATTCAGAAACAGTCTTCATAATTTAAGTGACTAAATACATCCATATAAAAAGAAACATGCAGTGATTAAAAACAATGCTGTAAAAAAATGAATTTGTTGACATGGAAAGATATGTTAGGTAGAAAACTCTGGCTATGCCAAACAAGACCCCCAAATAATCTACTTTTTATTTTAAAAACATGTCTCTGTCTCCATCCATATCTTCCACTCCACTCCCTCAACTTTTTCAGTAAGAAAGTATCTGGAGGCACATACGGTAGCAAAGGGTCTGGTAGTTAGCACTGATTCATCTTCATGGGAGGAATTTTGGGTGTCTCACACTACTACCTTTTAATTTACCTTTACTTTCTGATTTTTCTATAATGAACATGAATTGCTTTGCAATAAAAAAAGTCATTTTACAGTAAAAGAGATAAAGGTAGGAAAGAGTAAGTCAAGGAGACCTTCCAGACATCCCTGAGGGCAACGTCAAGCAGGACAATCACCATGTTTTCCCAGAAAAAAACCCTCTGGTACCACTGGCAGAATTGAGAGCTGGCTGGATTGAATATTAGCCTGACTCAGCATGGAATGTCTTTTTGCTCTTATGCTAATGCTTAAAAGCTTGAAACTCTGCACTCTGTTCAATCCATTTCATCAAATATTTATTAAGCACCTACTATGTGTCAGACATTAAGGATACAAGATTAACAAGATAGTTCTGTTGCAATTTAAATCAATAAGTGCCCTCATAGAAATGAGTACCTCTTTGTAAGTCCCAGATGGTTGTTCTGATACTCTTCAGGGGGGAAAAAAATCAAGCAATCTTCATGTAAGACAATGCCCAAGAAAGTTCATACTAAAAATAATCTATGTTTTCACTGTTTTAACTCATACTATTTTAAACACAATGTAGAATATTATGCTGCATCACTATAAAAAATACCCACATATTTGTGGCTCTTCACTATGATACCAGCACGATTTTCCATTTAAATCAATAGCTTTTCAATTCGTTTAGTAGAAATTATTTCAATCTGTTTAGTCTTTGAGCCAAAACTCTCAATCTGACTTTGAGATCCTGATTGAATACACCAGTTCTTATATAAGACCAATTGTTTTCTAAAGGCCAAAAGGCAGTATGTTTCAAACTAAAGTTACTTAGCCCTGGGTAACCAATCATTAAACAATTAACAAACTAAAGACATGTAAAGTTGGACAGTGAATCTGAAGAATTTCACTAGTTACATTAAATTATAATTAATGCTTATGAATTAAAGTTTGGATCTCAGTTAAGTAAATTCCATTTCTTCACCTTTGTTTTCTACTAATTATTATTCCTGTATCTAGAGGGACTTTTTGCATGACAATTACCTTATCATGGAGTTTACATGAATCAATATGTAAAGAACTTGGCAATCACCTTGTACCACTATTTTGCTTTGCGAAGAGAAACTTAGTCCCAGGAGTAAAGTGACTTGTAGGAGTATAAATTGTGTTGCATTGTGCCTTATGAAAGAGAGAAGCATGATAACTGATAGGTATCATTTTTATAAACTTGTCCCTCAGATTATTAGCCCATTATTCCTACTTGCTCCAAACTATTTCCCCTAATGTTTTGTTGAACCATTCTCTGGTCTCGTCTCTGCTCAAGACACTATGCATATTGGTTTGTCATGGTATTTAATGGATTCATTTATTCATTTCACAACTATTTATTGAACACCTATTTAGCGTCAGATCCTGGTATTAAGCAGTATTATTTTAAATCCATATAAAGGAACATTTTGTGGCTAGTTGTGTGTGGGTGTATAGAGAGAGCAGTTTGAAGTTTATCTTCCTTCCTGTATAAAATCAGCTCAGTTTTCTATCTTAACTTCCATTACATGATAAACATGTAGTTTATGTCTGCGAAGCATGTCTACACTAAATTTCCTGGATTTATTTTATGATAAAATACTGATTTCCCCTTTATAAAACAAATTATTTCATAATTTTGAATAGGATGATACTTTCATAAACCCTTCATCTGGATTTAGGGCATTTAATGTTTCAACATAATAATATTTTTTCTGGGCCCACAGGATTTTAATTTTGTTCAGTAAAAAAAACTTTCATTAATATTCTGCTTTTGGAATGAAATGAAATAGTACATGTAATGCTGGTAGGTACGCCAGACCCAGAAATACTGCCTTCCTTGTTGAAATTACCTATCTCCATTGTGAAACTGACTGTTTTAGTAACTAACTCCTGATTTCTATGTGTTCTCTGTTCTTTTTTCACTCCTCATGCAGCATTTTGGCCCTATCTACTTGTTCTCCCTTTTTATAGGTCTGCCCTAGCTTCTCTTTTTAGTTAATATTTGACTTTACTAGTCTTGCCATCAATGCATCTCAGTCCTTTGATTCCAGATTGCTCTGCTATATCCATCTGCTCTGTCCTGCGCTGTCAGTGAAAATTGTTGCTCTTTGCAACAATTTGTCCCAGGTGGGACATCAAAACTCTGATAATCTTTGGCTCTCGTCTCATTCAGGGATGGGTGATGCAAGATAACAGATACACTCCTTGGTTATACATTTAGGATTTGTTCCAAATTTCCCAAAGACTAACACCCTAATCTCCAGTTAGAGGCAAACAACAAAGTGACAGAACCTCACAAAAAGGGGTGTGGGGATGGGATTTGGGTAGTGTTTTTAACTCTGAACCTAAGGACAAATATTACCAGGTTATATGGCAATATGGGTAAGTAGTAGCTCCTGAACTTTTTGGGGGAAAAGAGAGAGCGCTTAAAAATTGCTTATAGGTACTGATATTAAAATGTCACAAAACACGTAAAGTTTCTTTGATGCTTGCAAATAACCACAATATACAAAACAAACAAATAACTAAACGTTTAAATCCAAATCATAGGTGTGGCATCAAATAGTACTGAAGATGATAAAACCAACGTCAGACTAGCCAAGTTGTAAAGCTACACCTGTTGATGACATACTAATCAATATTTCTAAATTTTAATTTTAGGTCACACATAACACGAATATACCAAAAATTAGGAACTGTAAGAGTACATGTCAAAAATTCGGGAGCAGGCACAGCTATACTTGATGGAAAAACCTTCCACCATGTAATTAAGCATGCCACTAAAAAAGTTTTTCTATTTATATTCCTATGTACTTTGAGGACAAAGCCAAATAAATGAGTGAGTTCATAGGAAGGTATAAAGGTCATTTTAAGTCCTGGTTTCGGGCGCGGGCCCATGTTTGCCATAACCGCAGAAGGAGGGACGAAACAAAGTTGTAAATATCCTTAAAGGGGGAAAAACTGTTTAAAAAATTTGTTTTCAAAACAAAGGCAAAACCCTCCATCTCCCTAGAGTCTGCGTTCTCACCTTCCCAACAGATGAGCTTTTAAGCAAACCTACAGTAGAAGCAAATCCTCCCCGGGAAACCACAGTATCTCCAAACAAGGACGGCGGGGTTCTCTCTATGGTCGCTGCTGCCCGTCTCATCTGGGAAGAGGCTCGTCCCTGCACAGCCACCCAGGAGGGAGCGGTGCGCCCCAAATCAGCGAGGCTCTGCCAAATGCCAGAGGCTCTTCCTTGGCGGAGGCAGGCTCCTCCTTTGGACGTGAGGCGCCCCTGCCAGGGCGCGGGTTTGCAGAAACGGAAACCACGAGCAGCGCCCAAGTGAGTCAAGTGATGAAATCAAGGCTGCACGGGAAGGAAGCTCACCCAGCAGCGCACGAACCTAGCTGGTGGCAGAGGCTGCTGAGCCCTGCCGGGGGAACCGTCCGGGCCCAGAGCCGCGGCGGACATGCGGTGCACCTCGCAGGCCCTGGGTCCCCCGGCCCCCAGGCAGGCCACCCCTTCGTTTTGGCGACCCGCTGAGTAAGGCAGACGTGTGTGAGGGGAACCTAGACCTGCTGGCTCCCCAAGGACCCAGACTGGGCTCTGGGTGCCAAGTGGCCACCGCCACCAGGTCAGTGCGGGACGCCCGCAGCGCAGAGAAGCAGCCGCGCTCAGCGCGGGCAGAGAGGCGGCGCCCCGCCCGCGCGCAGGACCCCCGGCGCTCACCTGGGGCGCGCAGGTGGGGCTGGGCGGGGCCGCGGGCTGGCGCGCACGCGCGGGACGGGGCCGCGCCCCTGCCGACGTCGCCGGCTGGGCTCACCTGGGAGACTCCGAGAGGAAGCGCAGCCGCGGCGCGGCCTCCCCTGGCAACGCGGGAGGCCCCGCGGGGAGGCAGGGGGCGGTGGCGGGGGAGGAGCCGGGCTGAGCGGCAACTGTAGCCACTGCCGCCGGAGCCGCCGCCGCCGCCACCTGCGCCTGGCGCCCGGCCCGAGCCCCGCCACTCCGCCTGCCGTCCTCCAGGTACGCCGGCGGCCGGCGCTCGGGACGGGGACGCGCCCCGGGCAGCGTGGGGCGGCCGAGCGGGCGCGGAGGATCGCGCGGCGGGCAGGGTCCGAACCGGCGGCCGCGGGTGCGGGGGGGGTCACCAGCCGCGTGTCCGTTGTCCCCTCGGAAGGGGCCGCGGGGGGCGTCCGGGGACGGGGAGGAGGCTCCGGGCAGCCCTGCCGCCCCGTCAGCCGCGGGGGCTCCCCTGCCAGCCCAGACGGGAGGCTGACCGGAGGGTCGCCCGCAGGAGGTGCCCGGGGCCGGGGGCGCGGGGCGGCCGCGTCGCCGCGGGCCAGCAGGTTGCCGGCCGCCGCCCGCCCGCCGCCGCGAAGGGCAGGGCTCCGCCGGGCGGCTCTCCCGGCCGGAGTCCAGACAGCCCGTCTGGGAACCGCGGCCGCCCGAGTCCGGTTTCCGAGGGGTCCGGGAGGCGCCCTGCGGTCGCGCCGCGGACGCCCCTCGCGCCCCGTCTCGCCTCCGCGCTTTTCAGGGGCGCTCCCGACGCCCGAGCTCCCCCACTCTCCGGCTGGGTCCAGAAGAGTTCCTTTCGCGGTGGCAGGAGGACATCAGCCGCCCCTCGCCAACCGCGCCCCATCTCGTTCGGGAACCTGTTGACTTCGCGACCTGGGTGTCGCGGCTTCTGTTTGCCCGTGGCAGATGACTCAAAGGGTCGGAAAAACTTTGTTTCGGGCTGCTGCCACGTCTGACCGTGGGTGTGCCGGGCCCGGATGCCTCTCCTTGCCCAGTTAGGCTTTTCTGGAGCCTAAGAATTAAGGGTGAACCTGGCGCTTACCTTAGACTTCTGTTTCCTTCTCTCAGACTCGTCGAAAAGCTTCACTTTCAAGCACATCAAATAACTGTTTCTGTAAACCCCATGGAATTACCATTTTTTTGGACTTTTAAGAACGTTATTCAGCTAACATAACTTGCTGAAGAAGTTGTACTACATATAACGACATCCCAATTTAAATTCTATTGGTAAAAAACCAGAAAGCTGCTGCATTTTAATTTGAGAAATTCTGGCAGCGGGAGAATCTGTTGCTGCTTTTGCTCGTACATTTTCCTTAGAGTTTGTGGCTAAAATACATGAGGTTAAAGTCATACCCTACGATTAGATTTCTTTAAATTTAACTTTTAATATCTGATGTCTAGCCTACAGGTCAGTTTAAACATTCTGAACAGTTTATTTCAAGAATCTTTTTATATTGCTTTAGCATTTTTATATAGAAATTTCTCATGACAAATGGCAATTCCACTGATGTAGATGTCGCTCTCTGAGTTGAGATTATTAAATTAATGGATTACTGGGCCTGATGTTATTAGACTACTTTTAACTCTTGGGAGAAATGCAACGTTTGAATTAGTTGCTGTGATAGTGTGCCTCAGGTAAACTGTCTATAAAATACGAAAAACAATACTTCCCTAGATTAAGATGATGAAGCCCTAAAACAAAGCCGAAATCTCCTGTGGCCCTTGCATTCTCAGGTTCACCTTCTCCCTTGGACATCCTGTCAGTCCACCCCGTTTGTGACAAATCCGAGCCGAGAGAAATTCTAACTTCAGTTTATCCAGTAAGTTACCTGTAGACATGGCACTATTATTTGAGTGACTTGACTGAAGACTCATGTTATCTTTACTTTCTCACCATGTTTACCATTTTGTCTTTCATATAGTTTGTAAGGCCTCTGTAAGTATAGAATAGTCAGCTGTCCTTTGTCCAGCTCTGATTTACTCTTAAGTTCTACTCGTCCAGATGATGCCTGACTCCAGGGAGGCTGAGTGAGGCCATCATTCTTTTCTTTACACTGTTGATCACATATTCACTGAAGATGCCATGTGGATTGAGATTTTTAATCCTTTTTGGTATTTTAGAGCCACAGTTAATTTTTGAGTAAGCATAGACAACACAGTTTAATGTTCTGATCTTTTATTATATTGGCTTAAAATGTTTTTTATGAGCCAGTGACCCAGGGTCATCTCTGCATTTGCAACAACAATCTAGATTTTTGATTGGCAAGCCCACTTCTTGATTGTCAGTGTTCTTTAAACCTTTTTTTGTGGACTGCAGTCCTCAGTAAGAAATGCATTCTGTGCCTCAACACAGTACACTCTAGTGTGTGTGTGTGTGTGTGTGTGTGTGTGTGCATAAATGAAACAAATTTCACAAAACATGGATGTTCTGTATTTTATTTAAAAAAATATTGGCCACAGCACACTGGATTGATTTTATGATTACAAATGGGCTGGAACCTACAGTGCAAATAGCGGTATCCTATTGAATTTATATTTTTAAGGCTGATTCTTGTACTAGCTTTCCCGTACACATAAACACACACACATGCTTGTACACACACACACGAGAGAGAAAGAGAATCAAATCGCACATTTTTTAACATAAAATTATACTATAATCCTTATTAAACATTTATTGGAACCTGGTGCTAGACTAAATCTGTCAAACATTAGGAACTGCATGAAACCTCACTGTACATTATTGAATTTTAAATGGGTCCTAAGAATATTGTAGTATGTTTGGGGACAGGAAAAACTGGAAAGTTTTTTCTGCAGGTGTCTGATAGTAACAATTATCAAGTGACAGTTTAAGAAAAATAATTCTGTCCACCTCTGGTCTATAAAGTGTATTATTCTAACTTCTCAATTTTATGGCTGAGTTATAGTGGTGGGTAAAGTCTGAAAAAAATTATTAAACACAGGCCAGCTTGTTATTTGGTTTGTAGTCTGTTTAATATTTTATATATGCATATATTTACTATGAAACATATAAGACATGGAATGTAGGGGTACGTAGGAAACATACCATTTCCCCAAAAATAAGTTCTAGATGGGGAGACTGAGATTAAGATCAGCTGCCTAAATGACCTGTCGGGATGTAGGCTTGGAAGCTCTGATTGGATGATTAAACCTTCCATAGATATTTTTAATTTTAACCTGCTTTCACATTCACTGTAGAAGGAATTTTTCTTCAAAAGAAAATATTAATGTATTTAATATTTTGGAAATGAGCAATGCCCAGGTCATGTTCAGACATATTCAAATCTCTGGCCTATAAAGTATAAAAACGCAGTTGTTTTGATCTTTTTTTTATGGTTATAAAATCTGATGAAAAAATAAATATTTTCAGTCATCCAATGATGCATCTAGTTAGTATCAGAATAATTCATTTTACATATTTTGTGTAACTTTAACAGTATCACTGGACTGTCAATAACAGCATTGAATTCAAATCAGTGTCAGCAATGGCAAGAGACAGAAGTGCATTAACTCACAGTAGAGCAAAGTCAAGTAGGACTCTGAATCCTGGGTGTTAGTGACTATTGCCAATTGATGAAATTTCCTTGAGTCATGCTCCTCTTTTTGGCACTCGATAGAGAGTATTTCCCTGAGTACACATTTTCCCTATAATTGTTTTAGCTTCAAACTGTCCAAACTAGTTTTTTCATCTATCCCATTGCCGACTTAGACATCTTTAAGATATCATAATGAAAAAACAGAAGGGATATCAGAATTACCTGAGATTATAAATGTGCAGAACCTTTATCCCATCAAAACAAACAAAAATTTTATCCCCGTGGGTGGGATGTGTCTTACTGCTGAAACAGTACTGTGTTTGATCACGTGGTACCGTGCCAGGCCCTGGTTCAGGAGCAGTTACATTGGATATGGCAGCCGTATCTCCTAACATCCAAAGTGGTAGGTCACTCCCGTTCACTACTGAGCCAAACAAATGTATTATGAGTATGATCCCTTACTTGTAGATCCTGGAGTTAATAGTTAACTCATTTAAGAAAAAAAAATCTTGGTTTTTCCAAATATCCTTTTCTGTTTCTATGTACTCCAACTTTTCGGTATGGCTTTTAAACACCTTCAAACTTATCTGATTTACTGGTCTCTTCCTACAACTATCTGACCTCTTGTTCCAGTTTGGACTGTGGCTTCCTAGGCCTGTTCCACAGCAGTTGTTTGGGATTTTTCTTTGCCGACAATTCTGATGTAGTCCCTATTTATTAGATACAACGAGTTTTTTTTTGTTTATTTACTCCCTCATTTTTCTGGAACACACTCCACAGTAGCTTCCTGAGAAATGATGAGTGGAATTAAGAAATCTGAGATATTGCCTGTCAGAAAATCTTTATTCTACCTTCACGTTTTCTTTTCTGACTCATTGATTATTGTTAAATTATTTTTTAATAGTTACTGTGTTCCTGTTGTTCAAAGTTTTTAAAAGGTAAGGAGGTGTGTCCGATAAGTCTTCCTTTTACGGTTGCTCTCTGATGCCCAGTTTTCGTCTCTGGAGGCAACTTTTTTTGCCTTTTTCATCTCTGGATACTATCTTTTTTTTTTTTTTTAATATAAAAACAATTTATTTTCCCTTTTTTTGAAATGCAAACAAATCTTGCTTTTTTTTCCCCCATTTAACTTACTGTGGAGATAACATCACATGAGCATATAAAGTGGCTTCTTTGTTGCAACTTGGCATAATATTCCATCACATGGCTCTGTCATAATTAACCTTGTTCCCTATTGGTAGAGTCGTAGGTTGTGTCAATCTTTTGATATTAAAACAATATTTCAGTGTGCAAGCTCACAGGTTGCCATTTCTTTTGTGTACTAGCATATCTGTGGGATAAATTCCTAGAAGTTATCCCCACACCTGACTGATACAGTGAGGGAGGTGAGCTTGCAAGTTTGATAATTCTGAGTCAGAATACCTGGAAGTAAATATCTGATGGCAAAAAAGTGGGCCCTTTTGGGGGACAATTTGTAGTACAGGAGGGTTTCTAATGCAAGTTATTGTTTTCTTTGAGCTTTTTAATTAGGACCTTTGCTTTTTCCAATCTGACCCATCTCTCTGAAGTGCTTAAGACTTCCTTCTTCAGCTCGGTCTCTTTCTCACACCTCCTCTGTCATCACCTCCTTTTGTGCTTATGGCTTTTTGCCCCATTATTTTATGCCAGGTCTACCTCTGCAGATAATCCAGAGCAGAGAACGCTCCGCTAGCTGGTCTACTTTTCAACAAGTCAATAACTCATTCTTGACACACTTCACAATGTAACAACCTTCCCAGCCTCCACACAGGTCCCTTTGCTGGGTTCAGCTAACTCTACCTCCCAAGTGCTTTCCCAAGCCTCCACACCCCTTCTCCTCATCTCTCACCTGGATTACTGTTAATTCTCCCAGTCACCTCCAGCCTCCTTTGTGGTTTTCCCTTCTCCCCCCAAAAATCCATATTCAGCAGAGCTTCAAGAATAATTATTCTGATTAGGTCATCGCCCTACCTAAAATCCATCAGGGCCTCTCCTCTTTGCCTAAGGAATTAAGCACAAATCCCACAGATTAGGTATCCCTCCCTTTCCTACATGGAGTTTGGCATTCAGTGTCTGTATTAGCCTTACTGTGTGATAATTATCTATACATGGTCGTGGGGAAAATTACCCTACTTGAAGCCCGTCGTTGAAAAAGAATTAAAGTTTAAGCTGACACTGGTTTATTTCCAGTTGAAACATGTTAGTATGGTCTCTTCATACTTTAACCATGAGGAGTAGGTAATGCAAGAATTTCAGATGGTAACTGGGTAAGTTAGGTACATCTAATGGCAGACATTGCTTTTATGCATAATTTGAAAAATTAATGTTATGGATTTATGAAGGGTGAATTTTCTTTTACATCTGGGGCAGCTAATGGAGAAGGGATAGATACAGGGAAATATATAGATGTTGTGATTGAAGTCTTTTTGAATTTCTAGATCAGGGGCTAGCAAACTACAATCCTTGGGTGAAACTCAGTCTGTCACCTATTTTTGTAAACAAGTTTTATTGGAACCAACTATACCCATTTATTTATGTAATGTCTGTGGCTGCTTTTGCACCACAAAAAGGGTAGTTAAACAATAAAGACCATGTGGTCTGCAAAGCAAAAAAATGTTTACTGTTTGGCCTTTTACAGAAAGTTTGCTTATACTTTTCCTGAAGGGGTATGAAGTTGAGGGGTGGGAGATGAGCGTCTTCCACATGAGTTTTGGATGCGTCTGTAGAAAGGTGAATATGCAAAGTGATAGCAGTGGAGCAAGCAGTCTCACTCCCCTGCTCCCCTATCTCTTAATATTCTGGGGCCTCAGAGAGAGAATGAGTGGGCAGAAATTGTCTACCATATTTGTGAGTTTTGGGGCTCCTTCAAAAAAAGGTTTGACTGAATTTATTAGGGGCAACCTGTCCATCTTCCAACTATATCCTATGGCAAGGCCCAGTAGCCCCTCCCTTCACTAAATATTACGAAAAACATCAGTGAGGGGAGTCTCTACATCAGCGAAAAACATCTGTGGTTGCTGTCCTTTGTAGGCCACTGAGACCGGCTCTCTGTCTGGGGTGGGGATGCCGTCATTCCACAGCAGCAGAAGCCGGGTGGCACCACTTAACCACCAAGGGCAAAGGGGGTGCATACACAGTAATGCAGAGCAGGGACCTAGATGTCATCAGAAGACATTGTCCTGCAAATGGTTTTGGGACCTAACACGGTGACTTTTGGTAGACGTCAAGTGGTAGCTAATGAATGA